CAGCTGTGAAAGATATGCAAACGAATATGGAGAATAGTAATTAATGCAAATCATCTTTTGCTGTAAAGACATATGAATGGGTTGGTTATCTACAAGTATGAGTTCAAAAACACTCATATGTGCAGGAACATGTCTGAGGTACCTTAAACTTTCAAGAATTTAGTGCTCGTTAGGGTAGCAAGTTCTGGGCCCTATGCTAAATGTCAAATTCAATGCTTACTTGTTGCGGGTTATGCTAGTGTTACTTGCCATTCCATCTTTTTGATTAAATTTACCTTTGTAACTACATTTTTGAAACCGCTTTCAAATTGAAGTTCCTATATTTTGAACGTATTCGTGTATAGAAGCGTATGTGTTTCCTCATAGTACGTTCCTAAGCAGTAGCATTCGGAGAAATGAGTTGATGAGCAACATCGACATATTGTTTACTGTATCTGAAAGGTTAGGTAAAGTGAAGTGAAGTCATGGACGTTATTCTGCGCCCAGTGGTGTTGTTTTCACAACAATCTGTCGTATATTCGTCGACTTCAAAATATACATATCAGACTTTCGTGTCCCGAATTGTCTTGCGTGGGCCATGGTCGACGTAAAACAAGCGTGTCACTCATCAAGCCATCTCCCAGAAAGTTGTATTATTAATTTGAAAGGCTGCCAAAGAACACTTGTCACGTTCCCACCGATTGCTGAAAGACGATGTCCTAGTCTACATTAAAAAAAGAATCAAATGATGCGAGAATTCTGAATGCTCTGCTAAACTAAGCGTGATGGTTTCACCTGAATGTTTCACAATTGCAAAACGTACACTGCATATCAAAACCATTTAGAGTGGGTACGAAGAATATCAAAGTGCAAATTAAATTTGGAATTATTTTATAGAGAAAATAAGATCGTTTCTGTGTGATGAATTTCGCCACCCTTTTGCTTACAGAGTTTTTGTCGATTATTTACTGACACAGGATTTCTCTCAGACTGATTACTCTGTTCGTGATGACTAGGTGATCGTCTGCATTACTTTGATCATCTTCGTTTCGGTATCTTTGACTTTGTGTCTAAAATTTCCCTACCGGTTCACAGGGCAATTATATCCTAACCCTCGACATCAACCTCTTTTGATGAAAAGTGGGATAATGGAATCTAATGCAAGGCATTTGATAGACATTTCAGAGCCGACTTAAGAATCTATCACATTATTTTTCTTCTAAAAGGTCTACAATTTTTGTGGACAATAGGCATTAAATAAACATTTAACTATAAATTATGTTTAAATCTCAGGAAGATTAAAAAGATAAATATTTTGTAATTTATATTTTTAAAAAAGCTTTCTTGGAATTTTCGGATTCTGAAAAAATTCAAGTGTATAAAAAAATGGTTTGTCCTCGGAAGAAAACGAGTAAACCACTCTGATTTTTTATATATCATATTGTATCGTTCACTTTAACTGTTCACTTGAACTCCTTTTTGTAAGTTCAACTAAAATATTATTTGGTGTGAAGGGGATGCATTTATATATGGTTTATAAAACATAGAAGTTCAATGAAGCGAATGGATTGCAGGTTTATGAGAGTTTACGTGCCAAAATATTATAGAGTTATGTGATGTGAACTGAATGGATTTTCGAGAAGCTGGCGAAGAAGTATAATCTTTAAATATATAGTTATAATATGATTTCAAACGTTTCAGATAACATTAAATTTCAATGAGAATGGTGTACATTTTTTGCGCTTTTTTAAACTCGTGTCCAATACTGGCAAACCCGAATCTTGTGGACCCAAATAGAGTCGGTTTTCGCATGGAGGGTAGCGCCAGGAAAATCCGGCGCGTGTGTTGTGGAAGGAGAGGGATGGAGCAAGGTACGTGTCCGGCTCGAGACCTGCCTGGCCAGCAGGCTGCCAGCCTGCCGGCGAGCGTCTCGCTTGCGTCTCTGCCTTACGTAAGAGCGCGCAAATATACGTGCGCGCCTGGGCCCTGGCCAAGTGGACCGGCCGCTCGCGGGCGCCCGTTTGCCCGCCTTTTTGCCTGCTCAGCCCTCGGTTGCTCGCCCTGGCCCTCCCCGGCCCGCCGCTTGCCTCGCCCCGCCCGGAAGCTGTGTTTGCGCGGATGAAAACGATCCCGCAGCGCATGCGAGGAGGGTGCCGGAACGGCGGCCGCCNNCCCGTACCGTCGCCGCCACCGGTGGCTGGCCGCGCGCTGACGTCACCGCGCTCGTCCCGAATATTTGGCCCGTGATACTTCTCACGCGCGCACGTCATAGAGCCGCGCCGTCCTAAAAGTGTCGACTGCGGTTGCTCGCTAATGTCTCCTACTTTCTTTAGCTCTGTGCCTATCCTTGACATTGCTGCATGATGCGTTGAAATTTGTGTGCGAACTACTTCCTCTTGGCGTCTTTCTTAATATTCTTGTACTTATTTGCTTAATATTTTCGTGCATTTTGGTGAGACAAAACCGAATAGTTGTAGTGTTATAAGCCTAATTTTATTCCCAAATCATTGTGGCGATATAAAAATGACTCGTTCTTCTTGTGCAGACTAGCGTTTCACAATTGAAACAGATTTTCCGAACGTAGGAAAGTAAACTTATGGAGAAAGGACTTTCGAATAATCTTGTAGATGAGTCTGAACTGAAGTAACCTCAGGGTGGTGAAACTGGGGCATTGGTGGGTTTAAAATGTAGAATGAATCATTCGGAATTTTTGGTACACGGAACTTCGCCCGGCGAACGCGACAGCCAGTTCACAAAACGAAATTACACTGATTATACATGAGTTATTAAACATTTCTCCTCAGGGACACTCAGTTTATGAATTAAAATTTGACTGAGAAGGAAGCATTGACGTTTTTGGATTGTTAGTGCAGCGTAATTCAGTTAAAACACGTACTCTATTTTACTGATTAGAGTACTAATATTTTACTGAATATAGTGTGTTTGCCTACGGGTGCGTCCGTTCATCCCCCGCATTGCAGCCTTCGCTTGCATCCTTGTTGTGTCCATTGCCATGTCATGCAGAAATAAATGAGACTTTCTCCCGTGAGAAGCCAGTTCCGAGGGAATGACGAATCCATTGTGTCTCTCTCTCAGACGCGAACCTGTCTACTCACGCGCTCCTTGCATTCATTCCAAGCTTTGTCCCTCCATTGAGGATTTCATTGACCACAGCTCATGGTCAGGAAGGCTCAGGAAAGAGTGCATTGGTATACAATGTAAATTTTATTACTTATTCTTTGTAAAAAAACCTGTAAAGTCAACATTCCGTGATTTTGTTTACTTTTTAACCCATTTTCTTTTATACACATTTCCCAGATAACGTAAACTCTCCATAACGAAAAATGTTGCCTGTCATTTGTTTGGAAAGAGATTTGTTTCGTTGTAAAGAGATGTAACCGAATTTAGACAAAAAGCGCTAGCGAAGCGCATCAAGTGTTTTTCCATGAGAACCAAAAGCACTGAACTAGTCTCACAAAACTGCAGAAATTATAAAGCCAGTGGAAAATATTTATAAAAATGTTTTATTAGTTATTTAGTTGGTGCAATTTCTAGGAAGGTCCACGATTCATAGACAGGGTTGATTATACTTTGAGTGAATATTTAAGCTTCATAAGCTATGATTTATAGACGTCATATACTAGATCGATTATAGATGTCCAAGAACTGGGAGTCAATTTCATTTTGTAATGTAAAAACAGCGCGAAATGATAGTGGCTGTAAGTCTGCATAGAGTACAGTTGCACAATTTTGTAGGTTGAGAATATGAGCTGTGAAAATGTTGAGAAAAGGAGCTAAGCGAGATCCTAACGGAACACTTGTATAGCGGGAGAAGGCAGAACGTCATTTACCAAAACTGATAAGCGATTTGAGAGAATTTTATGATAGCATTCTAACATGCTTTTACAGGTGTTTCAAGACCCCTGCAGTGGGGAAACTCTGTGAATTACTGTACTGTCTTATAACTATATCGTGATTCATTAGGATATGATTAATAAGAGCGATGATAGGTAAATGTATTGAAACTTTGAACTTTAAAAAAAAGTCTTCTTTCGATACTATTTCGTGTAACTATGTGTTCACCGATAGACGTGCCGAGAATCTGTATTATCTTTAAAATTTATTTTTATTGTGAACTTACGTGAAAAGAATTCAACACGTAAGTACTCACAGGCGCTACATGCAGAATGCATTATTATTATTATTATTATTATTATTATTATTATTGTTGTTGTTGTTGTTGTTGTGAAAGTTTTCAGAGAGTGACATCGCATTTTAAATCCAATTAACAATAGCACGCTACATTACTTACTCTTAGAATATGGAGATTAATTATTCTTGAACCAAATCTACCTTTATTTTTAAAAAATCTCAAGTTTGTACGTGTGATACTTGCCGGATGCGTAACGTCGGTAGTGGTCTAATAATTCACTGATAAAGTCCCCTTTAGAATCTAATCTTCTTTCGGTTAATGAACTATTGTTTTTATTGCGAAGTATTGCTATGAAATGCAATTTTTTAGCCTCCTAAGTTGAGTTTGAATTGAATTGAATTAATGCCTTATTTTACGTGGCGAACCTCAGGCCATGAGGCCCGCTCTTCCGTCTGACCACGCAAATTTCGCTACGCTCCTTTCACCAACTAGCAGAGAAAGGATGTATTTCTTGGGCGAGAAACAGGCGATTTGAATTTAGCTCGGAGGCGTCATTTAGGCTTGAGGATCATTTACATGCAAGTAAATCTACTAACATGGGCCAGCCGGCTTTACTTCCCCTGCGAAGGAAGGCGTACGAAAGATTTGTTCGCCCTTAAAAATCCATGGCTTTGATCGGGTTTGAACCCGCCAACTTGGGTACAACATTCCTATACGCTAATGCGTTACAACATCGCCGCGCACAAACTAATTTCTTCCTGAAATCGTCGCTTTAAACGTATTCTACGGTTAATTCATGCACGCGTATTCGATGTATCATCACTAGGGCTAATGCAGTAGAATTGAAGGCAAGTCGTAGAGCTCCTACCTGGTACTCGCGGCCCTTGAGCTGGTCCAGGATGGCCTCGGTCTCCGGTCCTACGTCCAGCTTAGCAGGGTCGTACACCAGGAAGATGATGTCTGCGCGGTCGATGAACCACTGGCATGCGTCATTGAAGGGGAACACGCGTTCCACCTGCTTGCGGATTTCCAGGATGCCAGGAATCTCCACGATGTTTACCTGCGTTCGAGACCAACGTTAATCTTTCCACTAAATGAGAGAGTGACAAAGATAGTTCACATCGTGGCATGAATATTTCTCTTAGGGGTGTAGCTCACTATTAGTATATAAATAAACGTGATCGTCATGTTTGCTGTGAAAAATTATTATATTTTTGGGAGTAGTAATAAAATGTTTTACCATATTGAAGTTAATATACGAAGTGAGAATTGCCCAGTTAAGGAGTGTAGATTTGGTCCAGTACTTGATATTCGGATGTTTTGAGAGTTTTCTGGAGAGCGTAACTTGTTCGTGTTTCTAACGATCACACGTAGTTTTCGCGTAGAAGGCTTGGAAAGGAACGGAACCGCTAGGGTGGGAGGGTGGCGCGCTCACCTTCTGCAGCAGCGGCACGTTGAGGCGCAGGCCGCGCAGGCGGTCGAGCAAGCCCTGGCCGAACTTCTGCAGGCCCGAGAAGGTCCAGTCGGCGGCGAGCTGCGTGCCGTCCACCACCTCTGAGCGCTCGCCCCAAGTCACCAGGTTGAAGTAGGCGGGCGACGGCTCCGCGCCCGAGCGCAGCGCCCACGGCGACCACTCGTTGTCCAGCAAGTAGTTGACGATGGTGGACTTGCCGCCGCTCCACGGGCCCATGAACACCACGAGCGGCTTCGAGAAGATCTCGGGATCTGCAACCGCACATTTTCAAATGTGATCAGACGGTCTCAACACTATCGACTATTTGACTTGCATGAACTATTTAGCTGCTTGAGGCCAACGTTGATATTACGTACCTCCGAAGTGCCTGTTGCTGAGGTCTCGGTATTTGTAGAGCGTCTCGAGCGGCTTGATGGCGTTGTCGTAGAGGCGCTTGAGCTCCTTGAGCGCGGAGTCTGCGGCTCGCGCTTGCAGCAGCTCGCGCTCCGCCCAGGGCTCGTCGAGGCGCAGCAGCGCGCCCAGGTGGTCGCGCGGCCGCAGGTCGGCCGGCACCTCCAGGTCCTCCAGCCCCAGCTCCTCCTCCGGCGCCGCCGCCGCCGCTGCAACGCGCCGCCGCCCTTAGGCCCCGCGCACCCACTCTCCTGCTCCCGGCCCTCAGGCTGCGCGCCAACCTTCCACCGGGTTCAAGACCTGCCTCACGGCGTCATTGGCATTTCGAAGTTTCTTCTAATAGAATCAATTCCTGCCACTGAGCTCCTTGCGAAGCCTCAGAAACAGGAAATCGTGAAAAAACGGTAAAATGTCGTTCTAGTCTTTTGTCAAGAGCAGTCCTTGTTTGTGAATCCCGACGCTCTTTTCCGTAAATTCAGGAATTTCAATAAATTAACAGTTCATTCAATTTTGCAGAAGTTAGTGAATTCAGTATTTTTTAGTTTGATAGTACTGATTGAGAATTCAAATCGAGCTATCAAAAAGAAAAGAAAATACAAACTATTTCTTGCAAACATTATAAATTTCAATTTTTTCTCTTTTAGGAACGCTCTCTGGATCTGCTCTAGCACGCTTATATTCCTTACAATATTGCGCGAACAAAATGTAAGTTCGATCTACTAGGTAGTGATATTTTTAAATTCTCCTTTTAAAGCAATGGAATGGATTTGGGGAGGGGGGCCTGAATTAGGAGGTTTTGGCTATTCAGTTGTAAACGGTGTCAATGGGGAAAGTGGCGGGGGTCAGGCAGAGAAGCCCAGGGTGAAAAAGTTTTTTTTTTAACTTCCGGATCAATCCATTTTAATTGGTCTAGCGCTGGTCGCTCGAAAAAAGTTCATATTTTGTAAGATTGTTTTAAAGTAAAGTATACCTAATACTGAAAATAATACATTAGGCCACTTTTGTTTTTTATTGGTAAAGTATAATTAATTTAAGTCAATGTAGATTTTAGTTCAAACTAGCTTCAAAATAATATGATTACTACTTGGCATGTTTCCTCAACGTGGAAACGAAGACTGTTTGCGTAGGTTTTCAATTTTTTTAAAAATACTTGGTGTTAAATCTAAAAGTTGACATTTTTAATGAAATTTGATTTCACAGAGATCTAGCACGTGTGCAATTTTCTTATGTTTATATGGTTCCTCAACAGATATTGCAGTTGAAAATTTGGAAAAAATAAAAAAATTACGCGAATTTTTAAGAGAATAATTGGTACGTTATTTGCCAATGATATTTTATAAAAAGTATGTGTAAAAGTACCGAAAAAATTGAGGCTGTAGTTCTATTCCTTCTTTGATTTCATTTGCGTTCCATATATTTGATTGCAAATATTTCCCACATAAAAACATAGGTATATAGATAATATTTCGATTGCTGACCAGATACACTTAATCCAATGCTTCTTATTCTAGAATGTTAGAACAGCACAGAGTTGAGAAATTTAGAGCAAGTGTCTACAAACGCGAAAAATGGCGTGCGGCGTAAAACAAATATGGCCGCCATTTGTAAATCAGATACAATAAAAAATAATTATTTTTTGAACTGTCAAAATATAAGGAAATTTATGTACAAAATGATTTTTTTCCCCGAGAATGTCCAGCGACCAATTTATTCAATTTTGGACCGCTTAAAATGGACTGACCATTCATTGTAAACGTACTATAAAGCTGAAATTAATTTTTTAGGGACCACTGATAAAGTGTTTTCAAAATTAGCGTAATTTTAAGTTATAATTCGATTTTAACGTTGATTTTGAGTCTTTATGTGGTCAGCGCTACTGCATAAACTTTTCAGACTATTTTCTCCAAAATTGATATTTGCCGATTGATCTGAGCGAATTCAAGGCCCTGTGAATTTAAGGAGGATATTTTGATTTTTGGGGGTACTTTACACGAAGCCTCAATATTTTTCAAAAATTCCCCAAAATGGCCCAAAATTGTTTAACTTTGTCCTGGGATAGCGTAAAGAACACTTAAAATGAATCTCAAGTCTTATTTTCGTTAAATTGTCTAAATTTTCGAAAATTGCAAAAGTTCGCTTGTTTTTGATGCGTTTTTTCTTAAATGAAATCTGTTCTAAAAAATTGGATTTTTAAACTTCATGTGCAGTTTATTGAAGAAAAAAACACGATTTTTTTCTTTTGAAGTTAATGCAATTGATAAAAAAAATTCAAAAACGGCGCCAAATGTTTTGAGCATGTTGACTTGAAAGTCGTAAGATGGAATGGGGGCGCGAATTTTTTTCCGATTGGAGATACTTTTGCTGTTTCATGTATGATGTAATATAATAATGAGTAGCCACGTAAGCAAGGAAGTATATGTTGTTGTAGCGCCACTGGAATCAAGTAATGGCTGCAGTGTTAGGTTATAATGTGCAATTTAAAATTAGTAACCGGTTACCAATAATATAAGAATGTGTGTTGCTGTATAGCTTCTCTAGCTTTATTTTGTTATCTACATCCTTTAAGGCAAAGGCAAAATCATTTTAACAGTGGAACATTTGTGAAATTCATGGCTGAACAAACGGGCCGATCGGGAGGTGGCTCAGTGCATCAACTGATGTAACTGCAGTGCCTGTGACCGGGAGGTCCTAGGTTCAAGTCCCGGCAGTGACTTGTCAGCTACGTCGAATTCAGTCGTCTGGAGATTCTAGAGCCTGGCTGCTCTGATCGGGAGTTATCCGTGGGTTTCTGAGATCGACACCAGGCGAATGTCGGGGCAATACCCTAACAAAAGGGCTAATGACAGCGCGCGATCACTCCTTCCTTTTCCTTGTCCTATTCTCGCCTCTTACACACACTCTAACATGTACTACACTGCGCTGGGAGAGCGGTCGGGAGCTTAGAGCTTGTCCTGGCTTGGGCGGTGCCCCGCTAGCCGTGGGAGATACCTGGTTGGCGAAACCCCAATAGCCGCCGTCATTGATTGGGGGAATATCACCCCCCCCCCGGAGGAAAACATGCACTACACTTACGGGACTAATGCCCTCGTTAGTTGACGCGCCCGGAATCACTAACAACTAACCAACAATATATTCGTCGAATTATATTACCGTCTTCTTTCAATATCTCTTAAAATGTCATTCTTAGCAACATTATTTTCTTGTCGCAGAAACTGTCTTTCCTGGTTAAAAATTACGATCGATCGAAATGAGTTTTTAAGCAAATATTGCATGTTTTTAAGAAATCACGATTTAGCCTTTTTGAATCATAACTCATTTTAGTAGTTTTCAGTAGTATTAACGTATTGGGCTCAGACATGATTGAAACGGATATGTGGATTAAAATAATGACGTTAAGTGAATAAAATATGTTAGACCAAGAATCCTAGCGCTAACGTACTTTCGAAAAGCTTTTCAGGTAAGAAAATTTATGCGGGTGTGTATAAATATAAGCTCTTCTAATTTTATGTTATCCATTTGCTTATTTAACAAAATTTCTAAGGTAAAACAGTTTTTTTAAAGGGAATTTGCGTCTTTGAAATGCGTTGAACTTACCTTCGGGAGAGACTTCGTCCGTAGCTGCTGCTTCGTCTGCGCTAGTTGTTGCTTCCTCGGCACTGGCAGCCTCTTCGGCGCTAGGTGCTCCCTCTTCGGCGCTAGGTGCTCCTTCGGCGCTAAGGTGCTCCCTCTTACGGGCTAGGGTGCTCCTCTTCGCGCTAGGTGCTCCCCTTCGGGCTAGGGCGCTCTCTCTTCGGCGCTAGCGCTCCCTGCTTCGGCGCTTGCGCTCCTCTTCGGCGCTTGGCGCTCCCTCTTCGGCGCTTTGGCTCCTCTTCGGCGTAGGCGCTCCATCTTCGGCTGCTAAGGCGCTCCCTCTTCGGGCGCTTGGCGCTCTCTTCGGCGGTTGGCGCGTCCCTCTTCGCGCTTGGCGCTCCTTCTTCTGCACTGCGCTCCCTCTTCGCGCTTGGCGCACTTCTTCTGCACTAACTTGTGCCTTCTTCTGCGCTGGTGCACTTCTTCTGCCGAGCTTGCTGCCTCTTCTGCGCTTGGTGCACCTTCTTTCTGGCACTAGGCTGCTCCTCTTCTCCTTGGCGCACCTTCTTACTGCACTAGTGGCTCCTTTCTGCGTTGGCGCACCTTGCTTTTCTGCACTAAGCTGCTGCCTCTTCTGCGCTTGTGCAACTTCTTCTACCGCTAGCTGTTCCTCTTCTGAGCTTTGGCGCACCTTCTCTGCCTAGCTGCTGCCTCTTCTTGCGCTTGGGCGCACCTTCTTCTTGCATAGCGCCTGCCTTTTCTGCGCTGGCGCACCTTCTTCTGCACTGAGCTGCTGCCGTCTTATGCGCTGGGCACTTCTTTCGCATAGCTGCTGCCTTTTGCGATTGGCGCACCTTCTTTCTGCCTAGCTGCCTGCTCTTCTGCCGCTTGGAGCACCTTCTTCTGGTCACTAGCTGCTGCTCTTCTGCGCTGGTGCAACTTCTTCGTGCAACTTGCAGCTGCCTCTTCTGCGCTGGCGCACTTCTTCTGGCACAGCTTGCTGCAGTCTTCGGCGCTTGGCGCACCTTCTTCGGCATCTAACTGCTACCGTCCTCCGCGCTTGGCGCGCTTCTTCTGCAGTAGCTGCTGCCAGTCTTCTGCGCTTGGCGGCACCTTCCCCTCTGCACTAGCTGCTCCTCTTCTGTCTGAGCTTGGCGCACCTTTCCTCTGCATAGTTGCTCCTGTTTCTGGCACTTGCTGGCGCACCTTCTTCTGCACTGCTGCTCCTATTACTGCGCTTGGAGCAGCTTCTCACTAGCCTCTATTTCTTCACCGGTTTTCGGTTCCTGCGCTAGCTTCACCGGCTTTAACCTTCTCTGTCTCACATCACTACAAGAGCTGTACCTTCAGTGCTTGTATCTTCTACCTAGCAGCTCCTTCTGGTTCACCAGCGTGCCTTCTTCTACACTGATCGTTGCTTGCTCTCACTTGTTAGTTGTTCAGCAATGGTGACCTGGTCTGCGACGCTTTCCAGCTGTTCTTTGCGGCAAGCTAGCGGATGGCTCTTTCGGGTAACTAAGCGGCCTTTGCGTCTTCGCACTAGCGGCTTGCTCTTGCGGCAGGCTAGCGCTTGCTCTTCGCACTAAGCGGCTTTTCTCGGCACTGCTCGGCACTCTGCGCTTGTCCTTCAGCACTATGGCCTGCTTGAGCACTAGCGCTTGCTCTTCGGCACTAGCGCTTGCTTCTTCGGCACTAGCGGGTCTTCGGCTTAGCGCTTTTCTGGCGCTAGCGGCTTGCTCCTTCGGCAACTAGCTGCTTGTACTTCGCACTAGCGTTTCTTGCTTTCGGCGCTGGAATTGGCCTCATGGCTTGGTGCTCCAGACTGTCGGAAGCTTCTTCTCGAGGTCTTCGGAAACTTCTTCATCGCAGACCCTTCTCTGCACTTCTGCCCTGCAACAGAGCGCCGCAGTCCATTGACTAGTCCCAAGGGATTTCTATCCTGTGAGTGTCTGTATCATAACTATGGATATCCTTGGTAAGCGTTTAAGTTTGTATTGCTCTCCCAGATACCGAGACCGTATTCAACTCTCGCGGCAACAACAGTTTCTGTCCTGCAGTGTGTGCGCACTCAGGACGCGTAGCATAATACATTGCTAATGTGATGGCGTGTTATGGAAGTTGTCAAGATTTTCAATTTGCAGGTATGTTCACGATTGCATGTAGTCCCGACAATATGTCATTTTATCCGATTATAGAGTCAGAACCTATTTTTTTGTACTCCAGCCCTGCGGGGCTAGGGTCTCTTTTGCTTTAACTTCTAAATGAACGCGGATAGACCTACAAAGGTATAGTTTAAGTTAAATTTCACTGCCTGAAATTACTTTACTGTTCTTGTTAATAAATCCTCATGGTAGAGAACGGGTATGGACATTATTTTGCAAGCAAAGGAATTGCATTGTCATAATTACTGTTTATCTTCCCAACTGGTACGACACACACCTCACCTTCATGTGTCGCTTTTCTCCTTTCCTACATTTATGTTAGGAATCTGAATCTTAGTAATGAAACTACTTGGGTATTCAACAGAGTATTATTTGAGGAGAGTTAAAAAGTAGGTTTGTCTGGACTAATTTGTTTTAAAATCATAAAAAGTAATTTCCAAATTTGGGACGATAGAGAGTACTCTTTTAATAATGTCATAGTTATTTATTTTTTATTCACAGACACTTTTCCCATCATTTTTGCGTTCAGGGACTTCGGAGTATGGCATCCCAAGTTTCTCAGCAAAGAATGTCATCACCTGTTTGCGTTTAAACAGAAAGAGCGGTGACACAGGGTATTGGCGATGAATGGAGTCCATCCTTGCTCCAATGTGAAGTGATAGTTCATGAAATATTTCATGCTTTTAAAATCGGTTTTAAGAGAAAAGTTTTCAAATGTGTCCTTTGATTTGGTTAAGGTTTGTGAAGAGTTGTGTTCTCTAACGTTTGAACTACGTACAATCTTTATTTCGTCGTGGCGAATACGACTGGCGGCGGCGAAACACTGCCAGCCTCGCCAACTGGTGTGTTCTTCCAAACAAATATTCTGGCGGCGGGCCACGGGCGATTACTGTAATATGTTACGGAGCAGCAGACGAGTCGTACTCAGTCTTGTATAAAGTGTGCAATAATAATCGCATTTATGATTCTCCTTTTGCTGCCAATGAATCTCGCCAATTAGAACCTTCACGAAAGAGCAGCTTTCTTGAAATTTCATGGAGTTTTGTTGTTTTTTTAATTGACGAGGAAGTGAGAATGAAATACGAAAATCGAAAGTTTAGCCCTTTCGTTTACGCGGTTAATTTTGAAATTGGGTTGACCATGATATTTTTCAACACGAAAAGGTTATTCGTATACTTTATTGCAGGGCTTCGCCTCTTTTCAAACCTACAAAGCGAAGATTTCACTATGAATAATAGAAAAGTAGCATAATACTCTAATTACTACATATATAAAGTAAATTTAAATCATAACTATTAATAGTTTACTATTGATGAGCTGTGCGAATGAAGCGCGTATTGTTTTTACGTAAAACGACTGTTCAGATCTTCATATCGATCTAGTTGTTTTCGAGTGTGTTTACGAAAGGGAGGTGAATGCCTCGAGCACCTGAAGTAGAACTTGTGTTATAATATATCCGTTCGGAAAAGTCATCCAATTTTTCCCTTTTCCAGTATTTTAAATTGAATTTGTCAGTGATATCTTGTAATACGGATGATTAAGATCATATCAGTTCGATGTACAGTGCTAATTCTGAAGGATATATTGTACCTTCTAGGGAGACGTACTCGTAGCCCAGTTTTGTCAGAATGCATTTGCCAAAGTCGAATGTGCGGTCGAACTTCAGCAAATGTCAGTGGTGTTCAATGATTTCTTGGTATTCATGTGTTCAGCTTGTAAAGTGAACGAGTTGTAAATATGGGAGCATTCTATGAAGACACGTTTAATGGATCCAGGAAAGACAGGGGTTTTGCGTTTATTATTCTTTGAAGATACCAAACCATAATATTTCATCATTGTTGGGAACTGCATCCGAGTTGGTCAATAGGAAGGATGGGTGCGAATAAGGTGGATGTAGTGGAGGGCAGCGTTCTCACCTGAGCGTCGGCCCCCGCCCCCGCCTCCGCTGCCGCCGCCGCCACCACCTCTTCTTCCTCGCCCGTTCCTCCTGTGGGCAACGCGCCAAGTCAGATCCCAGCGCCCGCGCTGCGCCCCGCGCCCCCTGCCCCATTTCCCCTTCCCTCGCGCCCTCACCTGCCTGGCGCAGCGCCTTCTCGATGTACGGCCGGCACTGGGACTCAGTGGGCGGTTCGTCACCCACGACGGCCGGGAAGGCGCCGAGGCCCACGGCCTCCGCCTCCGCTGCGGCCACGCCTGCGAACGAACACAGGGAGAGCTCTCGCTACCTCGGGGACTGAATTTGGTCGAGTCATGGGAATCGCCTTTACATAAGAATGGTTCATCGAAGAACAATAGGGACAAAGTTTGCAAAATACGACTCATTTTGGATCATTTTGCGAGCGGAGATTTTTCATTTTCGAATATAGGTATCGTGGAACTCTGGGTTAATTGCTTTTGCTCTGCGGTTAAGAGAATCCTTCCTATGAGACAGCGCTTGGCAGAGCGTTCGGAACGGCGCACTGCTGGGCGCCTCGCAAGGCGGATATAAATATGCGCG